TCCACACAAACCTGGCCTGATAATTTTCAATGTTTAATTGAATATCAATTATACCCCTTTTTAATGCAATATAATCTTAACATGAAGCTGTTAATACAAATGATATTGAAAGCAGAAATACAACGGCCCAACACTAGCATCAAAAGTACAAATATGGATAATTTTTGCATAACGTTTTCCTAGCAGCAAATTACAACCATTTAAAGATATCTGCGTATATACGGCTAATTTTCAGTACATAATTGTTACATAGTTCCAAAATAAAATATAACTTGCCACCAAATTCAAACAAACAGTACCGATTTCTCTTGTCGTGAAACATTTTCAAAAATATACAATAAACTTCATTTTCAAAAATATACAATAAACTTTGCCGTTAAAAGCAGGCTTATACAAGTCAAGTAATATATGGTAAACATGAAATATGCAAGTTCCATGTAATTAAATTTAGATTTTTACTTCTTTTTATTTCACCCTTTCAAATGAGCACTGAGAAAAGTCAATGCTACGTTTCTCCCTATTAAGCAACAATTCAATCAAAATGAATGAAATAATGTCGAAACTACAGATTCAGTAGATATAGGTATTTGAGAAACATTGCATCTTCATTTTACCACGACACATAGCGAAATCTTGTTGAAATCTCCTCCTTCCAAATTTGTTTCTATACTTTTTGACTTCCAACTTCTTGTTATTTGGTTTGACACTTGAGAAAAGAATTCACATTTGCAGATATGTAACCAATTGCAAACTAAACTAAAGTTGGTAGTAGGGAGCAGAATATAAAGGGGGATGTTTTGTTCGCGGCGGTTTTGAACTCAGCATTTCGAGAAAATGACGACAATTCCTTAAAACATCAGTAGGCGCAAGGATTCCACAAGAGCACTGATCCCTATATTTACATACATTTAATGATATATCATGTCAGTAGTGAGTAGGGTCTTCATCGGACAAGACAAAAGAATTTTATGCATAATGCACAAAGACAAAGGACTCATTAGCATATCAATGAAACCAATTAGCATATCGATGGATGATGTTCGCATAATAAAATAGTGCATGAGCGTGTGTAAGTTTTACCGGACAAAGGATGGGTCTAAAAAATGTATTGGACAAAGGGGGCAGCCCACCCGGCTAGATGGAATAGCGGACAGAGGAAAGACCTGAACCGGAATAGCGGACAAAGGGAGACTTGAGCCGGATTATGAATGTCAAACGTTTGAAATGACCAAGACTATCATTTGTATTCATTCAAAGCAGTGTGCAAACAGTAAATAATAAAAGCAAAATGCAGGCCACACCAACAGAGCGCCAATTAAGCCGACTAGCTGGAAATCTTGTGAAAAAATGTTTTTACTCTGGTAAAAATGGAGAGTGTGAGCGACCTTGGGAGAAGTTAATGATGAATCCCGGTCTATCAAGAGCCGCTATGTATAGAAATTTAGAGGAAAACTAATTTTGTGAATGGGGGCAATGTTTTAACGCACTCATAGAGTTACTCATTTACTCATTTCGTTACTCATTTACTCATTTGATTAAATGATGAGTAATGATGAGTAACGAAATGAGTAAATGAGTAACGAAATGAGTAAATGAGTAACGAAATGAGTAACCAAATGTGTAACGAAATGAGTAACCAAATGTGTAACGAAATGAGTAGCAAATGAGTGAATGAGTAACCAAATAAGTAGCAAATGAGTGAATGAGTAGCAAATGAGTGAATGAGTAACAAACTGAGTAAATGAGTAGCAAATGAGTGAATGAGTAATCAAATGTGTAACGAAATGAGTAACCAAATGTGTAACGAAATGAGTAGCAAATGAGTGAATGAGTAACGAACTGAGTAAATGAGTAGCAAATGAGTAAATGAGTAATCAAATGAGTAGCAAATGAGTGAATGTGTAACGAACTGAGTAAATGAGTAACGAAATGAGTAAATGAGTAACGAAATGAGTAACCAAATAAGTAGATATATATTAAATGATTTCATCCGTTCCTTACCATTCGGAGATTAACCTTCAAAGCTTCAACATGAATACTATTTCTGCAGTCAAACCCTATGCTTGTCACCAGTGTGACAAACGCTTTGGACGGAGATATAACCTCTTGAGACATACCGAAAATGCACATGCTGAAGATGAATCCGACATAGACGAAGTTGAGGTGGATAATTCTGAACCTGAATTTAAAAGCAGTAGATTTGAAGATCCGGAAATGGAAAACTATGAAACTGAATCTTCGTACGATGAAGACGAAGATCTTGAGGAAAATGATTCCGAATCCGTCACGGAGGTGGAAGATGAAGAATCATCTGATGAAGATGAGTCTAGTTCTGATTTGGAAGACAATGCAGCCTATTTAGACTGGTTGGGAGAGGCAAAAGAAGCGATTGATGAGATGTGGAGTGAAAAACATGAAAAGTACATCAACGAGGGCATGAGTGAAGATCAGGCCACGGAAAAGGCCAACAGGAAGACCTTGTGGGCAGTCAAGCGAATCTTTTTCAACAAATACAAAGATTTTTTGTCAAGTTACATACATCTGAAAGATAATGATACGCATCAAGAAATTGTGGACCAGATCGAAGACAGAGTCAATCATTCCGGTATTCTACTGCCCACGGCTGTCAGCCGGGTCATATCTAAACACCAGGCCAAATTTGACGGCCTGTTCCATCAATTAGATGAAGATGACATTAACGAGGAAGACAGTGACAATTAAAGACTAGTCAACGTTAATTGCAAAGAATACACTTTAAAACAAATTAAAAAAAAAACACGAGTGTTTCATTGAGAAATGACGTCAATAAAGCAATAATGTTATCATGTATACACTTTCTGCAGTTGTATTTTTCTTTGTTGGTGTTGTCTTACAGTTAAACAATCGGGAAAGCCCTACTGTCAAGCAGTCATATAATTAGTGTTTGGGCGCCCTGTCAATAATCCCCGAAATGTTTACGGTCTTTATAATGCTTCATGTATGGCTTTATCACGCACCGTGTCCAACTTTGGGATTTTGTTGGGGTAAAAAAGTTAGTTGCCTTATGACACTCTAAATCTTCAATATAAAATAGAAGTACGTACTATTGCTTTAACACAAAAAGACCTAGTTATATATATATATCCTTGATTTTGTAAACAAGTCCGGCACGGTGGTACACTAGGGTTCGGTGCATTCCTGTACAGACAACGGTAAAGGGGTATTAAGGCTTGAAATCATGTTTAGTCAGTCAACTTCATTGACTTCTTTCACGTACAGATTTTTGAAGCTCCCGCACATGCCGTGCGCTGCCAATTAAGTCCCATTGTCCAATAAAGGGAGTCAGCGTTCACTACTGTTGCGTAACTCCTGGCAATCGATATTTAGAACGCTCAATAATCCATCCCCACTGTACATGCAGGTAGGTGCAGTCGGTGAATGATAATCGAAATAATGAACACGTCTTGAAAGAATTACGTCTTTATGGATTAGGGAAACAGCGCTATCTGATCGGACGGTGTAAATATACAGTGTACATGTAGGATGCAGTCAGTCCCTTAATACAGATGTACGTGTACATACTGTACACACCGAGCCGACCCTGAAAGTTTGTATTTTCTACGACCACCGCACACAGATATACGTACATAGATGGTTCTGGCGGTAATGTGGAAGAATACAGTCGACTCTCGTTATAACAAGGTCGATGGGACTAGCCAAATTACCTCTTTATTACCTCTTCTTTGTTATGAAAGCAGAACCTCTGTATAAAAGTGCTCTTTATAATATAATGAGAGTCGACTGTATTGTGCAATTGTTATTGCACCTGGATAACACACACGATATGACAAGGCAAATATCGGTGCAGAAGCACGGAGTTATTTATTTGCTCCATGATCGGTGCGGTCATCGAGAGGTGATCGACCATCGGTCTCCGTATAGATCTAGAACGCATGGATTCATTAGCTCTCTGATCTATTATTAACACAATTCCTCCATGGTTAAAACAATCATCTGACTATACCGTGCAAGTACGCTGTTCACCGGTGAGTGTTTGTTTACTACAAATACATAAATTAATTGTTCAAACTTTTTTAAAACTCGACTAGAAGAAACTCTTGCATGTCTGTACACGTACACAAACTTGTCCGTGTGGATTGCACAATGGACTACCGGGATCAGTCATTCGCAACAAATCTTAGGGGTTGTTCCATTCTAGACGATGTTCGCCGTACTCGATAATAATTTACTAAAAGATAAATTCTTCAATTAGCCAATCATAATTGTTTCTTTCTTTCTTTCTTTCTTTCTTTTTTGGAAGGGGGGAAGGGTAATGGTTAACTGCAGCAAAAAAAATGTAGGCGTTTAATGATCAATACCGCAAAATCGACAGGCATTCAATAATCGTTCAATCGTGGCATTTTTATATTCGCGTCGTTTCCACTCTATAAGCGCGTTAAAACATTGCCCCATTCACAAAATTTGTTTTCCTCTAAATGTCTATACATAGCGGCTCTTGATAGACCGAGATTCATCATTAACTTCTCCCAAGGTCGCTCACACTCTCCATTTTTACCAGAGTAAAAACATTTTTTCACAAGATTTCCAGCTAGTCGGCTTAATTGGCGCTCTGTTGGTGTGGCCTGCATTTTGTTTTTATTATTTACTGTTTGCACACTGCTTTGAATGAATACAAATGATAGTCTTGGTCATTTCAAACGTTTGACATTCATAATCCGGCTCAAGTCTCCCTTTGTCCGCTATTCCGGTTCAGGTCTTTCCTCTGTCCGCTATTCCATCTAGCCGGGTGGGCTGCCCCCTTTGTCCAATACATTTTTTAGACCCATCCTTTGTCCGGTAAAACTTACACACGCCCCATGCGCTCTTTTATTATGCTAACATCATCCATCGATATGCTAATTGGTTTCATTGATATGCTAATGAGTCCTTTGTCTTTGTGCATTATGCATAAAATTCTTTTGTCTTGTCCGATGAAGACCCTACTCACTACTCATGTCGTTAAATGTTTGCAATTGCTGTCAAATACCTTTAAAAAAACGGAACGGAACAATGACTAATACCGAGCTCAATTTAAAAATTATCGATATGGATTGCAAAATAAACCCAAACATGCGTTTTTACGCGCTTAAAAATGTTGAAAGATCTGCTTCAGCCATGGTTTACATCCTCTTCAGCTTCGATGTTTACTGCTTTTTTGTTAGTTGTCATCAAACTCTGGGCGAATCATCATGTGCATGTATTCCTCAGTCTTCGGTAGCATTCGCATGTACGTCTACAGAGAGAGAATACGTTCACCATAATATGTGTTGAAATCAATGTCTTATTTTGGACCTTGCGAAAATGTGATATACACAGGCCCCCACCTAACCACACAAACATAATACATAAAGATACAGGAAATGGGTCATTTGGGAGACATTCTCATAGACTTGTGCACAACATTTTTTTTTAAATTTCATTGTGCCCTAACCCAATTCCCTTGTCCCTTTTCACGAATTTCAATATATTACTAAATAGACTCCAAGCCACCAATTTAATCTAATTGCGACATCAACATTTTGCCTCTGAAGGGGGGCTGTGACATAAGGGAGACATAAAAAATGTCTCCCTAATGACTGATGTCTCCCAACGTGTGAAGAAATTACGATGCGTATCTCCTAAATGTACCTTTACACGTATACCAGTAATAATAATGACAATGATAATAATAACAACAATGCACACCAAATTTTACAAACAAGTACACCCTTCAATAAAAATGATGTGCGCCTATGAATGATAATGGTTTAGGCATAGGCATGTCCAGTTTACTGCTTTCACATATCAACACTCACTTGCTCATTTGGGTTGTCAGCCATACTCGTCAGACGAGTCACTAGTTGATTGAAACTAGGCCATTTGGCCGGGTCTACCTGCCAGCACATCAACATCAGGTTGTAGCTACAAAACAACATGTTTGTTTGTCATTTACAAACGACAGTGAAGCTTCTACACAGAGTAGTTTTGTATTTGAATTGTTTACAAACGACATTAAAGCTACTTGATACATTAAAAAGTATCTTTATTTGTAAGAAAAATGATGTGAGAGTAACGAGAACTTTGTTTAGGAACTATAGGACAGGAACTATAGGACATAACCACATACTGACAGAAAACAAGGTAAGCTCAATATCAGTTTCAAACAAGTGAACTAGTTAAGTTAAGTTGAGATGATACAAAACAAATAAGTATTGATGCATGGACTATTAGATATGAAAGCATATGTATATATTACCTAATAATGAACACATCTTACATTTCATCATCACAGTTGCTTGGTTTGGTCATCTGATATCCATTCTCCAACCTCGACATCAGGTCCTTAGTTTGTATGTTTTCATAAGGAGTGGCACCTTGAACGAACATTATTCAACGAAACAAATAATAGTGAAAGAGCATGTAGGCCTACAGCGCAATACTGCGTGACTTATTAACTGAGAAATATTGTCTTTAGGGAGTACACATAACACGGGAGATTCTTCCTTCATTAACAACGCCATACATTACCTAGGGTCGCAATTTCCCAGAGAAGGATTCCAAAGGACCATCTAAAAGATGAAATGATAATAATAAACGTCATGATGTGTGACTTGTTTGATGTAAATGAAATTCTTTGCAGAGTCGTAGCAAGGTCATTCTTAGAAGGGAGGGGGTAGAATGAAAAAAATGCACTCGGCTTATCCGTGCAGACGATCGTGCGCACTATTTGAAAATAGGTAGCGTTTGCATGTGAGCAGAATTGCCGAAGTTTGCGCGACGTTTTAAAACGGATTACGTTTCGGTTATGCGAAGTACCAATGGTCCGAAGTACCATTGGTCCGAAGTCACATTGGATTGACGTCCCCTTGGTCCGAAGTACCATTGGTCCGAAGTCACATTGGACCGACGTCCCCTTAGTCCGAAGTCCCATTGATCAGAAGTCCCATTGGTCCTACGAAACATAATACTGTGTAGTTCCACTGGTTCAGGTTGATTGACCCTAACCCTAACTATAATCCTATGGACCGTCGAACCAATGGGACTTCGGTTCGGACCAATGGGAATTCGGACCAATGGGAAGTCGGACCAATGGGACGTCGGACCAATAGGAGGTTTGCACCAATAGGACCTATATTGCAATGGGCTGTCAGACCAATGGGACGTCGGACTAGAGAGACTCCCATTAATAAGGGGCGCTCGTTAAAAAGGGATACGATCTTACTTACACGTCACTCTTGGATGTGTAGGCATTATAAGTCAACGACTCTGGCGACAGCCAGCGAGTAGGAACCCGAGACTACGAAGAAAATATAGAATATACTTTCACTTGAGAACTAGGTCCAACTTAAATGGTCCAACTTAAAAGCGGCAGTCGTTGGTGTTTCTAGATGGAGTGATGGAGAAAGTGAAAAATATGTAATGATTATTGTAGTGTCCTCTTCTTTACTCGAGTGACCGATTGAACGACGTATTGACCGACCGACCGACCGAACGAACGATATACTGACCCTGTACTGACCGACCGACCGAGAGACCGAATGACCCTCCGAATCATAGAAAACTCAAGTGAAGGATTTCACCTTGCGTTGGCGAGTCGGTTGTTGTTTGATCGTCACGGGGGTATTCAGTGGTGCCAGCTTGTGTCTTGTAGTCCATTGATGGGGACATAAGAGCGGCAGTCGTTGGTGATTCTAGAAGGAGTGATTGAGAAAGTGAAACCGTATACATCATTCGATAAAATTGTGAATACATATAATGTCACAAGAGACATGTCAATGACTTGTTTTCATACGATTTCTGAACAAACAAAACAGACACTGGTAGAATTGGATGGACTGGGTCGCAACCGAGTGGACCGGGTGAACACCTTCAATGGATTGGGTGGATGACCTTGGGTGGATTGGGTGGATAACGTGGATGGGTGGATTTACCTATGTTCACGTATCGCATTCCGCGCAATCTGGTGTGCGCACGCGCGTACATTTTTAAAAATAGTGGTCGTACGCGCGCGTACACGCGCCTCTTTATCAGATTATGAATATTCATTCATCAAAACGCGCAATTACTCACCATTTATTTTAATTATGAAAATATCATCTTGCGAAACCATTTCATAAAAATTTGAATTTTAGTATGATTTTGCTCGAAAATCTAACTTTTTTTCTGATACCTCATCAAATGTGGGAATTTTTTTTTTAATCCAGATTTTTTTTGAGGGAATTCTCACTTTTTAAATGAAGTGAACGAGGGTGTATACTTCATTGTTATCCATACGGGAAAGCAGTTAATATTTTTTTTAATCGTCAAAATTCGTCCTTGAATATCGCATTTTTGAGACATTTTGACTCCAAAACGCATGTGACTCGTGTTGAGCATCAAAAAATGCACACTGGGAAGTAGCTGAATGAGTACGAAATGCTGCATCTTTCAGGAAATAAAGGATTGTGTGCTTCTATTACGTCTTGTGGAAGTCAAGAAACCTTACACCGTACGGACCACGCGGTGTAGTCGCCAGGCATCACAGGCACCGTGCAGTCTGCATCAGTCTGTACGGGTAAAATAGGGTTTGGTTCTGTTCGGTAAAATACAAAAACTTATTCAATTGCAAGTTGCCTTTTGGAGATAAAGAAGTAGAAGTTAGCATAATTCATGGTTTTTTTTTTTTATACATTTAGGCCAGACAAGGGGAGTGGGGGCTCAATGAACTGACTTTTTGTTGTGGAAATCGTGTCGTTGAAATCGTTGAAAAATAATAGTCCTGTGGTATATAAAAAAAAAACTAGTCCGACACGATTTTTACACACAACCTTAACAGACAAAATATAGCAATTAATTCATGTAGACTAAGTCGTTTTTCACTGAAACAAAAGAGAATAATATTGAAATTTTTCAAAGGTTATAAAGAATGGAAAGAAATGGCGAGTCAGTTGCTTCATCGTCACTGGGATTGCAGTAGTGCCAACTGGTGTATGGTCGTCCGTTGATTGGGACATACGAGCGGCAGTCGTTGGTGATGCTAGATGGAGTGATTGAAAAAGTGAAACCGTATACATCATTCGAGAACATTGTGAACACATATAATGTTACATTAGGCATGTCAATAACTTGCTTGCATTAGATTTTTGATCAAACACTTACAGATACTGGTTGGATTGGGTGGACAGGGTGGCAACCTAGTGGACCGGGTGGACACATAGTGGATTTGGTGGACTAGTTAGATGAAATTGTGGGTTGAGAGGAGGATGACCTTGCGGATTGGGTGGATAAGATGAATTTACCTATGTAGCGGACTGTGTAGAATTGATGGTGGAGTGGGGTCTGGAGTGGAACACATCCCTGAAGCAACAAATAATTGGAAACAGGAAACTACTCTGACTTCTGTACTGGTTCCATTAAGCAAGGATAACGGAAGTTCTAGGACAAACCGTCACCGTTGTGACGAAGTGACGCATCCGTCCAAAACCGAGATTTTCTGAAATCTGAGATTTTAGGAGATTCCAACATTTTATGATGTCTACTACATGATTACCAAATTTCGAGACACAACTTCCATCGTTCGTTAATTACGCTAATTGCACAAAGTGTTGAAAGTGCTGTACACTAAGTTTTTCGTTTTGCCGAAGTGACGAATCTCTATGTGTCACTTAGTCTCATTGATTTTACACGTGTGCTATATTTAGAAATATGAAGCCTCCACGATTTCCGTTGTGACGAAGTGACGCATCTTCTTTCTAAAACGTATACATTTTATATACGCGCACGCGCTGTGTACAAACATATGCCTCATTTTTATGAAGAAGTGGATTTTCCGTTTTGACAAAGTGACGGATATCTTTAGTAATTAATATCTTCTGATTAAACACGATTTTATGAAAAGAGAGAATTGTTGGTGTTTTTTTTTTTTTGGCTATTTAACTCCTGGGCTATTGTCTCAGTTATTTATTTTTCAATTCTGGTGGAGAAATGTACACAAAATGCAAATTGAAAAATCCACCAACTTCAAACGCAATTTTCTCAAAACTCGGTTTTGCATCTGTGTGCACAGATGCGTCACTTTGTCAAAACGGTGAAGATTAACTGCAGCCAAGAAACTGCCCCCACAAAAAAATATGTTTCTATCAAAATGTCTTGTCTTTAGAAATCTATGGCTTATTTGTATTTGTTTTATTTGATACTGTCAGAGTCGAGACAGTAAACCCTCTCCAAGACTAGAAGAAGTATAAGGTAAGTTATAGCCATGGTCAGTGAAGTGTTGGTATTTTGATTGTTATGCTTGATTGAGTACTTTGCGTCAGGTCCATATGTGCGAGGGGATGTAAATACGCGCCATTTTTGAATCAGTCAGCTTGTCCGCTGAATTGAAAGCAGCAACAGCAGCGTCGGGTGCTCTGAGTTGACAGCTATTTCAGAGCCACCTCCGGTCTATTGACTGCGATTTTATTTGCTAATAAGCGAGAGCCTGTTGTACTGGTCGTAAGTTCCCTTTTCAAATTTCCAATGTATGTCTTTAATTTCCTCAGTATAAAAGATAATTTTGATATAAGCCCCTCTTGAGAATATAAAAAGTACATCATTTCAGCCTTGAGAAATATTGTATCAAGGGCATGTAGGTGTAAGCTGGTCATACTAAGTGTGAAGGGCTGTAATTTTGTAATGATAAGGATTTGGGATATTTCAAGTTTCTTACAGATGGCTTTTTGGAGCAGGACGTTAGACCTGCATAACAATTTGATGTCCTGAACGAGAGAGGGCGCTATTTTGAAGTGCGTGCAGTCAAAGATACTGCAGGAGAGGGGAAGATAGGATAGTGACCACTTAAAAAAAGTGAAACAGGAAGTACTTGCTCAAAGGTCACGATGGAGAAGGGCGCCTCTCACGGCAGGTAGGTAAATACTAGATTTCCACATGCACTCAACATAAAAACCTAGTTATGCAGAGCCGCTAAACTACAGCGCAAATTACAGTCCATTGGCCGAATGACAATCTAAGGCCATGGCAGACCGTGTTTATTACCGTTATCACCCCACTCGTGGGGCAAGCGATATTTAGACTAAAATGTTAAATGTTTTAAATTTGGATTTTTGTTTCCAAATTGTTGGTGGGTGGGTCAAGGTAAATAATAGAAAATCAAAATTCACTTTTCATTAAAAAAAAAAGCAAAAACAAAACTAGATATTTTGACTTGCCTGTACTTTGCGCGATCGTGCGATTTGCGTTTCTTTTCCAACGTCGTCCCCATTTACAGACAATGATTTATATTATAGTAGCGCCCGCTAGTGCTGCATGCATATGGTATACTAGCGCATAATGAACAAGTATGACAGGGCTGCCAACTCTCACGCATTGAGCTTGAAACTCACGCATTTCAGGTTAATCTCACGCCCATACGGGATTTCTCACGCTAAAAAAATTAATAAATACAACTCCAAAATGATGTTTAAATCATGATCTTTTTGCTCAAAAATATTGGTTAAAGTAGTCAGAAATTGCCTCAGATGCGCGCACCGCAGAGCGTCTAGAATCCATTTTTTTTCGGGGCTCTTAAAGCCCGAGTCCATCATTTGTAGCTATCCAAAAAAAGTAACTGGCGTAATTATTGTTGAAAAAACATACTGGTTGAATGATAGTAAGGGGACTAAACTCCCTGTGAATTTATCCTTTCTGGCAAGCTCTCATTTTGAAGAAATCAACGAAAGAAGGCATTTCCAACGGTGCTTCTTAAGAAGCACCGTAGGAAAATTTAAATTAGTTGTTCGAATCGTTATTCGGCGCAGCGCGCACAAGCATTGGAACGACGCACAGGCGCGTGCGGTTGCTATATAATTCGTCGGATCAGTGCGCGACATCGCGTAAAGCTGGAATTCAAAACAATTCGAAACATGATTTAGCAACTTTTGATTTTAAATTGAGATCCTAGAATGCTGATTTTCTCGGAATTTGAAGCTGAAGCTGAGCTGAAACTTCATCAAGTAAGTTGTTCAGTATCTTTCATTAGATTTTGAACACTTCTGTTGCTTCAAACGAACAAAATGCACTAATTACAAATGATGGACTATAGCTTTAAGCGGGCCCCGTACCCACGCCAAATTCTCACCAGGTTCAGCTTTTACTCAAAGTTGGCAGGCCTGAGTTCGAATGGGGCATTTCCACGACGATAAAAGTGGCCGCCATCATGGATGTATGCGAAATACCGGCAGATCCTCCCAGTTTGGACAGAGCAAAAGCTGATCATGATGCACACCCATTTTTTGTTTTAGCACCGGGCTGCGACACACAGCTGATGAA